CGTGAAGGGGGCGGAATTGCCAAGTATCCATAAGTAGGATATGTATTTCTGAATGGAAAAGACTAGGTTAGGTACAAGTCCTAACTAACTAGATTACTGTACATATGATAGTTATAGGCGATGTATACTACACGCTCTGTTCAAATGTAATAATTAACCTTCATTTCTACGACACTTCCATGTATCGTCTCGTCATATAAAACCAGAGTAAATCAAGAATCTTATATACAAACCTTAGTATATATAAGGCATGTATGTGTCTGGTTAAAATGGTCAGAGCTACATGAGGTCGCTTACCTCTGTCGTCATTGATAGCACGATGTAATCAATTATGCCCATCACATGTGCGGCAAGACATGGGATTTATATAAAATGCGCAGCCAATTGTAAATAGGATAAACCTAACAAAACGACGTACGCTAGTAGAAATGCCGATTCAACTGTAATTTATCAATGCATATAATATAATTGGTTCCCAAAAGACTTTGGATTACAAGATGAAGTAAGTACTTACCTTACCTACCTTATGGTAGGTACCTATCAGGTATGTACTTATAATTGCTGGTGGGTTATAAGTAGGTACTTCCCTTAAGGTACCGAAATACTGGTACGACGTGATGGGTTGCTGGTACCTGGTATCTTATACTCGGGGCTCGTCTTTGTTCTAGTAGGTACCTACCTGATATATGTCAGATAGGTACTACCTCCACTACGCTTAACCGCCCGAATCGGAACGGCCGTCAATTGGCTTTCATCCAAGATGGTGGAAGCCCTCTCCAAATCCTCGTGCTCCTACACTACAACAACCAATTTCCCCTTTCAGCTTCAAACTTTCGGGCAGGTAGTATCTGTCACATTTTCCCATTCCCTATTCCCCATTCCCCATCCTTACCTTACATCCCTACAGTCCCTTACAGTTCCTACTACTATGCTAAACTCCCTAAAACATCCTTAAACATCCTTAAACATCCTTTAAACAATTCAACCAAGCCTTAAGAGTGGAAGGCCTTTAAGACACATATTTTCTCAAGAAACATTCTGTTACCCACATTTAGCAACAGGAAGACGGGAATCCCTAACCTACGGTACCTAGCCTTCTTTTTTTCTAACCCCCCCGGTAGAACTTGTGGGGTTAAACAGTTTATTCTGGGCACACGGGGTGCAATTTTAATCATTCACTTCTGGTATATTCTGAGGGACTAAGGAAGAAAAGGAAAAAAAAGGACCAATTCAATGTAAACTGATCTTCCAGAACCTTATTCTTACCCCCCCTCCCTCCTCCACCCTCCACTCCACCCTCTCCCTCCAAGGTGAATGAACCTTTCAGCTGCCGGGCTCGTCGTATACCGACTTCGTTACGTAGCATATTCGTAGCAGTACAACTTTACAAGTCAAAAGTCCTAGGAGCCCGAGCTACGGAGCTACAAACCTGCCAACTTCAACGTCTACCTGAAATCGAAGGGACAAGTTAGCCTCCAGGGGATATCCCACTCCACTCGTTTTTTCCCCTATCGTCCTATCGTCCTCCCTATCGTTCTCCCTATCGTTCTACTATCACTATCAAATACTGTCAAATTCAAACCCACCCGTCCTTTGTTGAACCCGTGCGGGCGGTGACCTAACCTTACACACCCTGTCGCCAGTCAAATCAATAGTCCACAGCCCGTCGATTCGCGTCCCTTTCTCAGCCACCCGTCTCCATCGGCTACCGAGCAACCAAAAAGCTACACCCGTACCTATATCCATACGCTATAACGTATTTACGCTACCAATTGCTGCGTCCCGCCTTTTTGCGACTCTCCACCTTCAATTCCCTCGACTTGGTAACACTAAGCGACACCACACTCGACGATAGCAGCTTCGCCTTCGCTTACCTGTCACACTTATAATCGAACCAATCGACAAACATTACTTGCGACCGCCGAGATTTGACATGTAGTGCGCTTTTCCCATATAATATTCCGGACTGTGCAGAGATCGCATTTCGCAAAACGGTGTCGGCTTATAGCCGTCCCTGACGAATAGATGCGCCCGGCCGACCTTGAACATTTGCCTTTTCTTCCACTTACAGGATACGGCGCTTAAGGGGTGATGGCAGATCGGGTGTTAGCTTCGGTTCGGGTTTCCGGCCCTCCAAATAGTAGTTTTCTAGTTGGTTACCCTGGTATTTCCGCTACGTTGGTGAGTTTGCGCCTTCAATCTATTTCATTTCATCTTTCAACCTTCCGCTTCCTCAGCGTGGGGTTGCGCGGCTTGAATATTCCCGAAGCCAAGATATGATTAAAGCCTCTCTAATTACTCACGCGACTAACGTATGCTTTCAGCCGCGCATTGAAGGGAAAGTAGAGATTAGACCTGCATCAGGTTATTCTGCCCCCGTCGCCATTTCTTTAGTGCGAATATGTCTACAAAGAAGAGAAACGATTCACCCAGCCGCCGAAAATGTAGCCAAACGTCACCTTGGAACGCCTCGACGCGACACTACCGATGTTGTTGGAAAGGAGCTTTTGCTATATCGGTGTGCGACAGGTAGAGATTCGGAGCAGGTCATGACGATGGACCTCCCCTTTGTTTTGTTTATCCCGTTTGGACGAGGCGGTGAAGAGACGAATAGAAGGATACCGCCAGCTTCATTACAACTCCCAAGCAGGACTGCAGAGACGTATTACGAACTGGTGGTTACGGTACAGCAGGGTCCGAGCATACAGAATAAATACGCATTCCCTATCCCTTTGCAAAGATATGATACGTTATCGACCTTTGGAATGTATAACCGGCCGGAACACAAGGCCGTGACCTCCGATAACATAGTGACTCTCGGCATTTCGCTTCCAAGATGGAGTTACGGACCTATGGACCCAATTACGGTATATATCAAATTGGCCCCCAACCCCGACTGGTTAGCCAAGGCTAGAAAGGTCACCATACAGAAGATCACGCTTGCGATCGAGGAAGAGATCACCTACAACCCCGAAGGAGACGAGCCGACGAGGAAGGTGAACAGGCTGCAGAAACATACGCAGACAATAGGAGCCAAACTGCCAGAAGAAGGTTATGTTACTAACATGGGCATTATCTTCCCGCATAAGGACTTAAGGGATGCGAATGGAATTATTCGAAGGGGACAGCCGGCTTTTCCGAATTACGAAGTTACGTCATTTACAACAACCTCCACACTTTATAAGATTGAGTTCTTCCTCACTATTAAGGTATGTTTAGTTAAACGCAAATGCGATGCAGTTTACAAAGGGCGAAGGGCGAAGGACCTTGTTTGCAGCTCATTACTAACACTTTCTATAACATAGGCGCAGTTAGCGTCGGCTCGTGATATTACCCTTCGGCAGCCTATCGTCATATGCCCGCTAGATCATCAAGCATGCAAGGAAGAAATGGATGCTATCGAGCAAGCAGCAAAGGATGCTTCTGCAGTCGACCAGAATAATCCGATGTTACCAGCGAGAACGATCGTTTTAGCCGATGACCCGAATGCTTTGGCATCTCTAGGATATTGCTTAGTAGGAGGTCAGAAGAAGCCATTGATCGAATGAGAGTGTCATCCTATGAATTCGATGACGCCGGGGCATCTAGCTTCAATTTTGCGTGATACTATACCCGAGCATCGTGGCTCACCGAATTTAACAGACGGGCGTGCTTTTTGCGAATTGTCATGCATTTCAGCTGTTTTACTAACCTGGACGTCCGAAAATTAGTCTCACCTAAGAACTCCCATCCATCCGAAGGGTCATGAGTTTTCGACCGGTGTACTGGCCCGGACTGGTACGGGAGAAGAATAGAATAATACTACTATCGCACTAGCGGAGTAGTTAGACTAGTGCGCAGTGCAGCGGAACTGGTTGCTCGCATTATATATACCTGCTAAAAGGATTAGCAACTTAAAGAGGTTCTTGCAAACCCCTTCCCTTTTTTTTTTAGTTAGGGAAACAGCAAGATATACCTTCAACCCCTTAGGCGGGTAAATTAAAGCACAGGCTTGGTTCGTCAGTAATCATATTCGTCTAGAGATATTCAGGAACAGGATGCGAAAAAACAGGGTTGGAGTTTTAAGGGGGTGCGTCGTTTGATTGTAATAGCTTTGTGTTTGACGGGCACGTTACCGTCGTGTCGGATTTGCGGCGTTACGGTCGTGGGATCATTCCCAAAGAGTGGTGCAAGGATACCAGCGCATCAAATTCCGGGGCGTTCATGGGGAATACGGTCATCTGGACGGACTCAATTTTTAGTTTCTCTCCGCCTCTAACTACGAGCACGGGAAATATCATTATATGTTGTTCGTTAATAGGTAAATTTGAGACGCGGCCAGATGAAGAGAGAAGAAGCACATCATGGTCGAACTTAGTTCGTGGTGCTACCGAGGTCTTCTAAAGAGTTAAGATTGCAAAGGTTGGAATGTTGGAACTGTACCTACGCGTACACACGTCGCAGCCTTATGATATCCAACTTGGAGAGGAATGATGTATATGTCGACGTGGAAGGGAATTCTAGCATGGAAGGATCTTGGCCTATGTCGTGGACGCTATTCTATTCATTGCATAGGGCAGCAGGATATTTTTGCAAAGGCTGCTTGGGTATTTTAGCATATAAGTAACTTTAACGTATTAGGCCGATCTTCGAATAATTGTTTATAACATTCGTCTAACTATGTATTTTAATATGTGTGCTTTATATAAAAAAAAAAAAAAAAGAGTCTCAATTTCTGTGTAGTTGTCTACCATTGTAGGAATATCAACGTGCAGTCTACTGTGTAGGTACTTACTTACACATAAGTAGGAGTAATTTTATGAATGACGACGATACAGGCTTGATAAAGTTCATCTACCCCGCCCCCTCCGAGCTAAATCGAAATGTACAAACGAAAAAAAGAAAATACAGTAAGGCAACACTTTATTCTCAAGGGGAGCGTGAAGAGGGAGAGAGAAAAAGGAATTAAGCTATGATACAAAAAAGGAAACATATATCCAACTTGCAAAAGTTAAATGAAATGAGAGCTGCAGGATTCGAACCTGCGCGGTTTCCCATCGCGGGTTACAAGGTGTTCTTGCGAAGACCTAAACACGACGCCTTAACCACTCGGCCAAACTCCCAATTCTGGTTGGAGAACTCAGCTAAAGTTGTAGTATATAACGCATTGTGCTTTTTTGGCTGTCGAAATTTTCACGGTGTGGCAGACTTACATGTTAGAAACCGGAGTTGATTGGATGCGCTCATGGTTACAAAGATCTAGGCTGACTTGGGCTTAGTGGGCACTAGGTTTAGTAGGAGATAACCTTGAGCTAAGATAAGATTTCACATCTAATTCAATAATAGGTACACAGCTTACTTGGGTAAAAGCAAGAATTAGAATGGGATTTATAGCTCCTACCTGCTCTAATAGCATGCTGAATACTGAATACTAGTATCTGGTGACACTTATTTGACAATTTGTTATTTTTTTTTCCTGTTAAGAATATTGCAATTTGGAATTGCAATATTAAAGTACATGGAACTTCTTTAACCTAGGCGAAAACATTAATTTTCAAGCTTCACATGTGATAACCAACCTTCACTAATCACACTACGGAAAAGATTCTAACTTTATCGGGGGCCCGAGTCGTCACCACTCCCCCCCCCCCCGAGTCTCAGTCAAACGCATACTACATAATGGCTTTTGACGACGAAGATCCCGTTCCGTCGTCGGCCCTGGCGCCCGCAGCCGGGGACCAAGGAGCCGACGAGGCGCCGTCGCTCGAGGATGCGCTCGCGGACGAGACGCAGGACTTCCGGCTGTTTGCGTCGCTATTCGACAAGAAGCAGGCCGGGGGCAAGACGCTGCGGCGCGGGGAGAAGGACTTCGAGTCGCACGGCACGCGCGCGCAGCAGGGCGCCCTGGACGCGAGCCGCGCTGCGATGCAAGACGTCCTGAGCTACACCCGGTCCCACAAGCCCAAGGACCACACGCGCGCCTGGTACTTCCCGGATAAATGGGCCGATATGCCTCCCGCGGAGGAGACGGAGGGTGAGAAGGGCGCGGGATTGTTTGCGAGGGAGCGCGTGGTGGTCGTGGAGAACGAGATTAAGGGCCCGCTGGGCCAGAATACGGGGCGGGTGGTCACCGGTCCTGGCCTCGAAGGGTATAAGCAGACGCCTGGATGGTTGAAGACGTGGTTATTACCCGAGGAGGCGTTGTATCTGGTCGAGCGCGGGTCGTTGGATCTCTGGTGGCCGGCGCGGGGGATCGAGGATATCCTGCCCGTGACGAAGCAAGATGGGAAAGATAACGACAACGACGACGACGGAACTAGCAGGAAGTTTGAGGACTACGAGCTTGGGGTACCGCTTAGTTTCCAGGCGGCATATGCGCTTCTTATCGGCAAAGACGGCGAGAGAGGGAAGGTTAGCCTTGAGAAATACCAGGTCTACGCTAATCTCCGGAGAACCGGATATAAAATCATGAGAGCAACCTCGATAACGTTGCCACCAGACGTATCTACCAGATCTTCGTCGTCACAGCCGTCGCCGTTACAAACTCTATGGCAATGGCTCTTCTCCCTATCATCATTTTCGCAGACTAACCCGCCTTCCTACGGACCACTCGTCAAGCCGGGTCTCTACCGTTCATACAACCCCATCTTCGCACAACTCTCCTTACTCTCGCGCCACGTCCCCACGCCTAACCCTCACGCGTCCACACCGTCACCCGAAGAGCCCTTCCGGATCCACTTTCACGTGTGGAAGAGCAGCACCACGTTCTCCAAGACGAAGCCGCCTCCGCCCGACTTCCGGATCGCAGTCGCGGACGCGCGGGAGTCATCCGTGCCGACGCTCGAGCAGCTTACCGCGCTCTTGGAGCGGTGCACGCCGTGGGACCCGCCCGAGATCAAAGACGGACTGGGAGCGGGTGCGGGAGCGATGTACCGGCGTCTCAAGCACGCGTGGCGGAACGCGGTTGTTGCGGTGGTGGACCGCGGGTTGATTAGCTACGTCCGGTTTGGGGAGATGGCGTTTGGGGAGGAGAGGTTGTATGAGAGGGTTGGAGGGGGTAGGGGCGCGAAGGGGAAGAGAGGCGGGAGGGGAGCTGGAAGGGGGAGGGGACGGGGACGGGGTGGGTGAGGGTATAGCTACCTACATAAGGTTATAGAGGATTGGACTTGTTGAAGCTGTGGTTAGGAACTACGAATGGATGGCCTTGTTGATACCGGCGATATTGGCATCATTCCGCTTGTTGAGTTGTCTAACTACGTATTAAGTGGGTAATGACCTACTTTCTAAGCTTTAGATAGGCACTCAATTGGAGTCTCAACTGAGGCACAATCTACAAGTTAACTCGATACCGTACCTTGGCCCTTTTAGTGTTCAATGAATAGCCATATTAGAGATATGACGATGTGCAATTTCTACTTTTGTTCGGATCTGTTGCGCGCGTTGATAATCAACTTATTACCGAGCAAGACTTAGTTACTTACCTCTATAAACATTACTATATGGGGCTTGTCTATCATTCGAAATACGGATGTAGATCAGATGCCTCAGAATACTTAATCTGTAAATGATGAACGTTCTTCGCGGTCTTAGTACGGTCCTGAATAACACCCTTGTCTATCGACTCGATATAATGCTACCAAACCAACACTAACTATGTTGTACATGGTTTAGTCGTCAGTAACCTAGTGCGATAGTCACATAACTGGACCTAACCTAACTACCTACCCGAAACGAACCTTACACCCGGGTAATAATATTTTTACGGTGGGGAGGAGACGTGCTTGCATTACATAGTAGAGAGAGAAAGAGAAAAAAAAAAAATCACTCTTGATAAAGTATTTCCATCTGGTCGCACTGTAACACAGCTGCAATTGTATCACTAACATGGGATTTTGATTGTGGCCACATGATGCGAAACTTACATTGAAAAAAGAAGACCAGATAGCCAAACAGTTACGGGCTTTGTGGGTTCCAATGGCTTTTTAGTTGTAATACGTTGGTGTCGGCAGATATGTACATATCCTGTCTTACCTGTTGGAACACGAGGAAACGAAAAAGTCCCACAATAAGAGAGTCCTTGTATTACGATGGCATCGACGAGATTAAAATTGGAAGAAAAAAAAATAAATTATTCTATGCGATGATCTTCTTCTCCTCCATCATTGTTTTCGCGGTGATGTTCTTTTATTCGTTGGTTAGATTTTACTCGGCTATGACTTGATATGTATAACTCGCCACTTTTGTCTTTCCGTCTTCGTCACTAATTATTTAACCTAGATACTTACAGTATAGGTAGGCAATGTATTATCAAGAAGTGTAATAGGTACACGTGACGTAACAAAGTCAGAGAGAGAAGTTGTCAGAGTTATATAGGATTATCACATGATTGCGAAAATAAAGTAAAGTTACCTAAGAGAAGGTTAGGTACGTACCTTAGCCTAGTGTAAGGCAGGTAAAGAGAGACTTTTTGACCAGGTTGTCGAGTTCACCCGGGGCTTTTGCAGGGGTACTCGTAAAGAAGAAAGTCTTGGCCCCTGCTTCTATTGAATTCCCTTTTCCACACTAATCAACCCCGTACAACTTGCTCGCTCGCACCTTGTGTAAAAGAAATGAAGTTGGCGTTTATGATTCAAACCAATAACAAAAAATTTTTTTTTTTTCGGAATATGGGTATTTAAATCATTAACTACTAGGTAACTAACTGATCATATTGTTTGTTCTTATCGCTGAGTTGCTAGTATGAGACTTGAAAGTTCGAGTTTGAGTTTGATGAGCGTAGGTAGTTAGAGAGTATTAAACATGACACTTTTGGAATTGCGGAAAGGCTTTTTAGGCAGTTTGGGAGGGGGTATTGAGTTTTATTATTACCTGCTCGCGGGCACCTTGTGGTCCCCCTTTCGGTCAGACCGAACATACCATCAAGAGTAAAGTCGTTTGCACTTGACTTATTTCCCTCGAGTCGAATTAATCGGCTTTCTTGTCGCACGGAGGCACGTAATATTTATCAGCAGAGGATTCTGGGTGATGACATGATGGCGTAAGATTTGTGTATCGTTATGCCCTATCAGGCCCGTCGATTACTGAGAGATATATAATCTAGTTTAGACATGCAGCATCAATACCATTACCATTACATAGCTGCGTGTGTCCACGTTGCATCCTGGCCTCCAATGCGTATTGAGAGTTATCATGCGCCGAAGTTCAAAACTTTCTGTGACGCCCCCACCCGGTGTTTTAACTCAAGACAGGGAAATTTATGATCGGGTAGACGCGCAACCCGGCGATCGAAACTGTTATCTTCTAGCACTATGCCAGTAACTTACATACATATAGGTACTCTAAGGCATGTCCAGTTAGGTACATATCATGGCAGCAAGCATGGGGTATGGGGCTGATTGCATACTGCTCAATATCAATTCATGCTATGGAATACATTAGTCCCGGTTGGGGCTAAATGGATACCAACGCTATAATGATTAGAAATGTCTACTATTGATTAAATCTGGTTGGTGCTGGTGCTGACCCATGTTACCTCTTTTGCGCAAGTATGTCATGTTGGAAAGATAAGCGCGGCATAACATTCTAACCTAGGTAACTAACCTAACCTATTCTTGTTTCCAACGACCAGCAACTGTATGCATGGACCATTTGACATATACAAGAAAAGACTATCCCTTCGGTCCGTGTCTAGGCAGCGGTCGATTGAAAGATGCCCGAAAAGAAAAGAGGACCATCATCGAGTATGCAGTGGATGATAATCATTAGTTAGGGAAATCTGGTCTTTAGTAATGACTCAAGTTGCCTATTAATAAGGACCCCTGCCGCCACAGCACGCAATTCGAAATGCCAACGTCACAATATATGTACTACCAGTAGCCAACGTCTCTTCTATCTCTCTTATACTTAATGGCTTTATCCAATCCATCGTATTTTGGAAGGAAGACTTATTATGGCTAAATAATAGCGTCCTTCCTCTTTAAAGCTCTCTAACTTGCGGTTTAGGTAAAGAAACGCGAAGTTCGGACTCCTACGCGTGCTAAGTAGGTAGTTAGTTGTCGCCAAGCCTTGTCTAATACTCTTACCCAATTCTATCCCTTGACATCGACTCGACTTATTCAGCTAA